GACCCAAGTTCAATCCCTGGGTCGGGAAGATCCCCTGGAGCAGGAAATGACAACCCACTCCAGTATTCTTGTCTGGGAAATCCCATGGACAGAGGAGCCTGGCAGGCTATAGTCCATGAGGTTGCAAAAGAGTCAGACATGACTTAGCAACTAAACAACAACAACCACCACCACCTCCCTGATAATTTCTGTGACCCAGCCCTGCCCTACTCTCCCTCTGCCTCTTCTGGTATTATTTCTCCCTCCTCTTTTTCCCTTTTCCTGAGTATTAGCAACGATAACCAACATTTTCAAGTACTCACTATGCACCTTGTATACTAAACCATTAACCCCACTAATGGGCTCATTAGGTGAAGACTAATATTATTTCCATCTTGTGGATAAGAAAGCTGGAGCACAGAGAGATTATGGTAATCGTCCAAGGTCACAGAGCCTGTAAATGGCAGAACTAGGATTTGAACCCAAGCCACCTCACTCCAAATGTTTGTTAATATGCTTTTGGTTGGTTTTTTTTTTTTTCTTTTTTTCTACTGTTTCTCTCTAGAGGTATCTCAAGACTCCTTGATTTCACCTCTGCAGAAGTTTCCCCAACTTTGAAATCCCTTCCATTCTCTGGCTCCAGATCAAATAACAATATCAATAGCTGCAATATCAGCCCAAACTAACATATATTTGAGCACCTACTTTAGGCTGGCATCAGGCTAAGATTGTTCTATATTCATTATCACACAGTACCTCCATATTACAGATACAAAATGGCACCACAGAGAGGTTGCACAAAATATCACAGTTATTTAGTTGCAGAGGCAGGTAACAGACCATAAAGTCTATCAAAATAGTATAATATTAATATAAGCTACTTGAATGAAAATGCCAGGTCCCCTTATCCTTGCAGCCCCTTCTGCAACATCTCCATGTAAGAGGTATCTGGTATATATTTGTGGAGTCAAATTTAAGTGAAAGAGTGTGCAATTTTTTATATATCAATTATGCCTGCATGCATGTTTCCTAAGTTGTTTCAGTCATGTCCGACTCTTGGCGACCCCATGGACTGTAGCCCGTGAGTCTCCTCTGTTCATGGCATTCTTCAGACAAGAATACTAGAGTGAGTTGCCATTTCCTCCTCCAGGGGCTCATCCCGATCCACGTATCAAACGCGAGTCTCCTAAGGCTCTTGCATTTCAGAAGGATCCTTTACCACTAGCACCACCTTGGTAAGCCCATCAATTATGCCTAGAAAAGTTTTTAAATTATGGTAATGAGAGAAGTTCAAACAAGGTGTTTCCTGCTTTGGGGCAACTGCAGGCAGAGTTCTGGAAACTCCTGAGATGGATCATTTGTGAATGTCAGTTATCCATGAACTCTCTGTCCTCATCCCTAGATGGAACAGGCAGGGAAATAGAATGAGCAGCAAGTGAAGAATTAAAATAGAATTCTACACTTATGGTTACCAGGGGGAAGGATGGGGGGAATTGGATAGTTAGGGAGTTTGGAATGGACATGTACACACTGTTATGTTTAAAATAGACAACCAACAGGGTCCTACTGTATAGCTCAGGGAACTCTGTTCAGTGGTATGTGGCAGCCGGGATGGGAGGGGAGTTTGGGGAAGAATGTATACATGTATATGTTTGGCTGAGTCCCTTTCCTGTCCACCTGAAACTGTCACAATGTTGTTAATCAACTGTGCTCCTATGTAAAATAAAAAGTTAAGAAATAGAAATTTATTGCAAATAAAATGATAATAGAGGAAGCTAGCCTTTATGGAGTGATTTCAGCCAAACATTGTGCTTTACACACTTATGTCATCACCCCAAACCCAGGAGATAGGCAACACTGTCACCCTGTTCCATATATAGAATCTTAAAGAAGTTAAACAACTTGCTCAAATTTGCACAACTGGTGTCAGAAGCACTTGACCCCTAGGGGACCTGTTTCTTCATGAACAGAAAGAGTCAGCTGAAGATTTCTAAAGTTTCCTAGAATTCTGGGATTCTGACATGCTAATGACTCTTTGAGAACTCTAGGTTAAGTCTCGTGTGCATATTATTGAGCACAGGATTGCTGGCTGGGCTGAAAGGAGACCTTTGAAGACTAGCCTTGAGGAAAGTTGATGGTGCCCAGACTGCCTGCATTTTAGGAACCAGGAAATACTGTCCAGCCATGTGTTTGACTAGCTGCCTCTGCAAGCTGTAGTCGCCACTGGGGCAGATGTGATGTTAGTGTTGCTGTTGTTATTGTTCTAGTTGTGGTGAATGGGAGCTCCTCTCTAGTCACAGTGAACAGGCTCTAGGCACACGGGCTTCAGTAGCTGCGGCTCACAGGCTCCAGAGCATGAGTTCCTAGTTGTGTATGGGCTTTGTCGCTCTGCGGCATGTGGGATCTTCCCAGACCAGGGATCGAACCTGTGTCCCCAGCATTGGCAGGCGGATTCTTAACCACCGAACCACCAGGGAAGTCCTAAAACGTTCATTATGTTCTTTGGTGGAAACGTTTTTCTTTTCTTCCTTCTTTTTTTTAAGAATGATTAACATGAGGTCTATCTTTTTAGCATATTTTAAATATGTTATTCAGTGTACAACACCGAATTTTAAAGTATACAAACCTGGGAATGTTATGTTTTACACTGTATCTCTAGAACATATTTATCTTGTACAGCAAAAGCAGTATACCTGTAGAAAAACAATTCCCTGATAACCACCTTTATATTCTCTGCTTCTGTGAATTTGACTACTTCAGATACTTCATATAAGTGAAATCACACACTATGTATTTGGCTTAATTTCCTTTAGCATGATATCCTCTAGGTTCATCTATGTTGCTGCAAATGGCAGGATTGCCTTATTTTTAAAGTTGAATAACATTTCAGTGTGTGCATATCATGCATATGTATATATGTGTGTGTGTGTCTGTGTGTCTGTGTGTGTCTCTGTGTATATTTATATATGTATGATGTCTTTTATCCATTAATCTGCAGGGCCCACTTTCTTAGGGGATAACCAAAGTTGCCAATCAAGTTACTAGTCACTGGGCCTGAATTTTCTTATTATTATTATTTAATATTTTTTAAGTGAACCATTTTTAAAGTCTTTATTGAATTTGTTACTATATTGCTGCTGGTTTATTTTTTTGTTTTCTTGGTCACAAGGTGTATGGGATCCTAGCTCCACAACCACGGATCAAACCTACACCTCCTGCATCGGAAGGTGAAGTCTTAACTATTAGACCACCAGGGAAGTCCTGGGACTTGAATTTCAACAAGTGTACACTAGAAGAGCCACACTGGTTGTTCATATTGAAATGTCTCCACATCATTTATAAATAATCATGTCCCCAGACCAACTCCCAGGACCCTCTTATCAGCCCAGAACATGCCCTGGGAACCCATCAAATGCCTCATAGTTCAGCAGCTGAAAGACTGACACTTGCTGTCTCAGAGAGAGTCTCCAATGTCCATTCTACTTGGTTGGTTTCTGAACCATTGTTGTTTTTGTTTAGTCACTAAGTCTTTGTGATCCCATGGACTGCAGCACATCAGGCTTCCCTGTCCATCACTATCTCCCGGAGTTTGCTCAAACTCATGTCCATTGTGCCAGTGATAACATCCAGCCATCTCATCCTCTGTCATCCCCTTCTCCTCCTGCCCTCAATCTTTCCCAACATCAGGGTCTTTTCCAATGAGTTACCTCTTCCCATCAGGTAGCCAAACTATGAGAGCTTCAGCTTGAGCATTGGTCCTTCCAATTCAGGGTTGATTTCTTTTAGGACTGACTGGTTTGATCTCCTTGCAGTTCAAGGGACTCTCAAGACTTTTCTCCAACACCACAATTCAAAAGCACCAATTCTTCAGTGCTCAGCCTTCTTTATGGCCCAATTCTCACATCTATATATGACCATGGGGAAAATCATAGCTTTGACTAGATGGACCTTTGTCAGCAAAGTGATGTCTCTGCTTTTTAATATGCTGTCTAGGTTTGCCACAACTTTTCTTCCAAGGAGCAAGCATCATTTAATTTCATGGCTGCAGTCACTGTCCACAGTGATTTTGGAGACTAAGAAAATAAAATCTGTCACTGTTTCCACTTTTCCCCCTTCTATCTGCCACGAAATGATGGGACTGGGTGCCATGATCTTAGTTTTTTGAATGTTGAGTTTTAAGCCAGTTTTTTCGCTCTCTTCTTTTACCTTCATCAGGAGGATTTTTAGTTCTTCTTTAATTTCTGCCATTAGAGTGGTATCATCTGCATATCTGAGATTGTTGAAATTTCTCCTGGAAATCTTGATTCCAACTTGTGATTCATCCAGCCTGACATTTTGCATGATGTACTCTGCATATGAGTTAAATAAGCAGGGTGACAATATAAAGCCTTGATGTATTCCCTTCCCAGTTTTGAACCAGTAAGTTTTTCCATGTCCATTTCTAACTGTTGCTTCTTGACCTGCACACAGGTTTCTCAGGAGACAGGTAAGGTGGTCAGGTATTCCCATCTCTTTAGGAATTTTCCACAGTTCTTTGTGATCCACATAGTCCAGGGTTTTTCATAGTCAATGAAGCAGAAGTAGATGCTTTTCTGGAATTCCCTTGCTTTTCCTATGATCTAACAAATGCTGACAATTTGATCTCTGGTACCTCTACCTTTTCTCTATCCAGCTTGAACATCTGGAAGTTCTTGGTTCACATACTGCTGAAGCCTAGCTTGAAGGATTTTGAGTATTGCTTTGCTAGCATATGAAATGAGAGCAATAGAACAGTAGTTTGAACATTCTTTGGCATTGCCTTTATTTGGTATTGGAATGAAAGCTTACCTTTCCAGTCATACCAGTTGTTAAATATATTGTACTTGCCAACAGAAAATTATTCTAGACATTAGTATATGATAAGAGAATGAAAAGGAGATAAGGAGAGAACTAACAATGAGAATGGTGTAAGATTTATTAAGAAAGGAAGAAAATACCCACCTATCTATCCAGTACCTTCAGGTGTTTGCAGAAGCAGGAACATGGCTGATGACACCACCAGATGTTGGAAAGGTTTGGGGAAGAAAAAACTACACTTTAGCAGCCACAGTAGAAGCAGACTTCACATAGAGGCAGCCTTTATTTTCCAAACAGGCAGAAACAACACTTCCCTTCCAAGATATGTTTCTGGAATCTTGCCAATCCTCCATCAAGAGGAAGACTCTGTTTCTGGTCCACTTGAATCTGGGTGGACATATGGCTTCCTTGTAACCAAGAGAATATGGTGGAATGGAGCTGCATGACTTTCTGGACTGGATCTTGAGAGAAGATATAGCCTGGTTGACCTGAAAACTCATGCTTAGAGCTCTGAAGCACCATGGGAGCTGCCCGACCAACACTGCTATGATGGGAGGAAGCCCAACTATCCCAGGCCCTGACGTTACATGAAGGGACAGCAATGCTCTGCCAGTTCCCAGCCACTTCAGCCCATTCACAGTCTAGCAGTAACTGCCTAAGAAGCCTCAAGCCACAAACGCTCAGCTGAGTCTTTTCCAGATTCCCAAATGACAGAAATTATGAGAGATAATGGAATAAATGTTGCTTTTTACATTCTTTGCTTAATATTTGCTTAATATTCTTTGCCATTATGGTTTACCATAGGTTATTTTTTTTAATTGGAGGACAGTTGCTTTACAATATTGTGTTAGTTTCTGCCATGCAATAATGTGAATAAGCTATGCAAGCATGCTAAGTTGCTTCAGGCATGTCCGACTCTGCGACCCTATGGACTGTAGCCCGCCAGGTTCCTATGTCCATGAGATCTCCAGGCAAGAATACTGGAGGGGATTGCAATGCCCTCCTCCAGGGGATCTTCCTGACCCAGCAATGGAACCCATGGCTCCTGCATTGCAGGCAGATTCTTTACCACTAAGCCATTGGGGAAGTCCTGAATCAGCTATATGTATACATATATCCCTTTGCTCTTGAGCCTCCCTCTCACTTCCTGCATTTGACCCCTCTAGGTCATCACAGAGCACCAGCTGAGCTCCCTATGCTACACAGCATCTTCCCGCAAGCTATCTATTTTACACATGGTAGTGTATATATATCAATGCTACTTTCTGAGTTTATCCTGCCTTCTCTTTCCCCTGCTGTGTCCACAAGTCCGTTCTGTATGTCAGCACCTCTATTCCTGCCCTGCAAAAAGGTTCATCAGTACCATCTTTTAAGATTCCATATACATGTGTTAATATACAATATTTTTCTCTTTTTGTCTTACTTCACTCTGTGCGACAGACTCTAGGTTCATCCACATCACTACAAAAGACCCAATTTCATTCCTTTTTATGGATGAATAATATTCCATTGTATATATGTACCGCGACTTCTTTGTCCATTCATTTGTTGATGGACATCTAGGTTACCTCCATGCCCTGGCTTTTGTAAACAGTACTACAATGAACATTGGTGTATATGTGTCTTTTTGAATTATGGTTTTTCTTAGGGTGGGATTTCTGGGTCATACAGTAGATTTATTCCTAGTTTTTTAAGAAATCTCCCTACTGTTCTCCATACTGACTATATCCACTTACATTCCCACCTATAGTGCAAAAGTGTTCCCTTTCTCCACATCCTCTCCATCATTTAATGTTCATAGTTTTTTGATGATGGGAATGTTGTTTATTAAAGCAATATTTATCGTTATTTGTCAATCAATAACTGATACTCAGCCCTTGGGGAATATCCTGGACTCTTTCTTCAACCATTTCATGTGTCTCCCTTATGTTTGACTGTTCCAGGACTCTGCTTTCTGCTAAGCCTTTCAGGAGTCGTGGCTCAGCAAACCAAAGGTGAGTACTTGAAGCCTTACTTTTCCATAGCCAGAGACCAGTGAGTATGTAGACCAACGATGCACATGAGGCCACTCACATCTTCCAATAGGATAGAGAAAGGAGGCTGCTTCTGGGAACAGAACTGGGGCAGCCTCACTCCTGTAACTCTTTTTAATTCAACATTTCATCAAATTTAGGTATCTTTTTTTGGCTGCACTGGGTCTTCATTGCTGCCCGAGAACTTTCTCAAGTTGTGGTGAGCAGGAGCTGCTCTCTAGTTGTGATGTGTGGGCTTCTCATTGCAGTGCCTTCTCTTATTGCAGAGCATGAGCTTCAGCAGATGTGGTTCCTGGGCTCTAGCACAGGCTCAGTAGTTGTAGTGCATGGGCTTAGTTGCTCTGTAGCATGTGGAATCTTCCCAGACCAGGGATCAAACCCATGTACCCTGTGTTGACAAGTGGATTCTTAACCACTAAACCACCTGGGAAGTCCTCAGTTATCTTTTCTGTTTTATGTGCCCAAGGTAGAAGTAGAACAGTGAATCAAACACACCAAGTCTCATGAAGTGTAAAAATGAGCAAGGTCATTTCAGGTTAATTTTAATCCCTAGGCCAACTCACTAGATTCTGAGTCACCAAGTCTAGGGTGCGGCCTGAGATTCTGCATTTCTAGCCAAAAGCCAGAGGATGCATTCTGAGTAAGGGCTCTGCATGTTGTCCTCCATTGTATTCCCAGCCTCCACTCCCCATGAGCCCTGGCAAGCTCCCAGATTTCTCCACTAGACCTAAAGCTTGAGATACTTCCTCAGCTCCATTATTCCCATTCATTTTCTTTTTTTAAGATCTTTTTCTTTTTTAAAAATAATTATTGTGTTTATTTTTGTCTGTGCTGGGTCTTTGTTACTGCACACGCTTTTCTCTAGGTACAGCCAGTGGGGACTACTGTCTAGTTGTATGGGTGCGGGCTTCTCATTGCAGTGGCTTCTCCTGTTACAGAGCATGGGCTCTAAGTCCCTCAGTAGTTGTGGCTCACAGGCTTTAGGGCCCAGGCTCAGTAGCTGTGGCACAGGGCTTAGTCGCTCCTCAGCATATGGGATCTTCCCAGACCAGGGATTGAACCCATATCTCCCGCATTGGCAAGTGGATTCTTTACCACTGAGCCACTAGGAAAGCCCCCTCCACTCATTTTCAATGGGCCACAAATAAGATCCTTGGTGATCTCCATCTAAATGAAGTTATACATAGGGTTACAAAGGTAACATGCACCCTTATCAGAATATACCTTCTGTGGTACCCTACAAATTCAAATTTTTGTAATCACAGCTGATATTGGTTATGTGCCAGGCACTGCCCAAAGCATTTTATGTAAATTAATCCACTTACCCCTCACAATAATGCATTTTACAGATGAGGAAATTGAGGTACAAAGCAGTTAGGACACTTGTGCAAAAACACACAGGTGGGAAGAGGTGGAGCCAGAATCAATTCCATTGTCCAGGCTCTTAACCAACTCATCCCCTTTTCTATATTCTGCAATGATTTTGAGAATAGCATAGTTATATTGCACCGAAATGTTTGTGTTAAAAATTAACTGGTTTAATGCCAACCCCAGGCCTTTATCATGCACAAGGATCACATGTGCATAGCTTGGGTTTGGTGTCTTTCATTCTTTAATGTACTAGCATTTCACAAAAGGAAAAGGGTGCCACTTCCTTAGGCTTGAGAGGCCCTGGCTCAAAGACAAAACCAAATAATAACAGGAGAGTTTTTGACTCAAATGTAGTTCAGTCACTCAGTCGTGTCTAACTCTTTTGCGACCCCAGGGACTGTACCACTCCAGGCCTCCCTGTCCATCACCAACTCCCAGAGGTTGCTCAAACTCATGTCCATCAAGTTGGTGATGCCATCCAACCATCTCATCCTCTGTTGTCCCCTTCTCCTCCTGCCTTCAATCTTTCCCAGCATCAGATTTGACTCGAATGACATCTGACCTAACTCCCTTCTTCCTGCAGGGACCTGTACCCATTGCCCCCAAAATGCTTTCTGTGTCAATGCTACTCACTGTACCTGCAACAGTGGATACAATTCTGAATCTGGGAAGAAATACTTCAGATTCCGCTTCGAGAGATGTGAAGGTAAGGGGTTAATTTTCTTTTCTTTTTTCTTTTTTTTTTTTTTTTTTTTGCCTGTGCTGGGCCTCAGTTGCAACAGGCAGGACCTTTTAGTTGCAGAATGCAAACTCTTAGTTCCCTGACTAGGGGTCGAACCCAGGCCTCCTGCATTGGGAGCTCAGAGTCTTAGTCACTGAACTACCAGGGAATCCCAGGGGTAATTTTCAAATCACCCAGAGGTGGATGTGGAAGGAAGGCAGCATAAAGGCTGTGAGGAAGTAAACATAATATGCAATGCTGAAAACTCTGCCAACTCAACCTTCACCACGAAAATGCTTTCGTGGTGTCAGAAAAGTGGGCTTTTCCAGAACTTGCATGTGTCCAACTCTTTGTGACCCCAAGGACTATAGCCTGCCAGGCTCCTCTGTCCATGGGATTTTCCAGCAAGAATACTGGAGTGAGTTGCCATTTCTTCCTCCAGGGGATATTCTCGACCCAGGGATCAAACCTGCCTCTCCTGTAGCTCCTGCATTGCAGGCGGGTTCTTTACTGCTGAGCCACCAGAGAAGCCCCCTTCCAGAACTTAACTAGGTCTCACTTTTCTCCTCCATATTGTGGGGATAATAATGCTGACCTCATGAGGGTGGAACAGGAATTGAATAAGGTACTTAATGTGACCCTACTTCATGAATTACAAAGCACAATGCAATTTTGTGCAATTTTAAAAACATTTTTTTGGCTGCACAGCACAGCATGTGGGATATTAGTTCCCCAACCAGAGATCAAACCTGCACCCTAGCTTTTCTACTGCTGAGCCATCAGGAAAGCCCTCGTTTACTATTTTTTTATTTCAGTTCTAATATCTCCCTAATTTCTTTTTTCCAAGTTCTTAAATACTCAGGTGCTTTATTTTTCATCTTTCTTCAAAATAAGGACATTTAAGGCCATAACTTTTCCTGTGGTACAGGTTCAGATATACTCTACAGGGAGAAATATTATTTTTATTAATCCGTGAATGGTTTGTAATTTCCTTTTGATGTTTTGTCACTCCAAGAATTATATGGGAGGGTGCTTCCTAATTTCCAAACAGTTAAGACTTTTCGTACATGTTTTAATTATATATTCTTAATTTTTAAATTTTTATTTTTATTGATTTACAATGCTGTGTCACAAAAAGATACAACGTTGTGTTATTTTCTGTTGTACAGAAAAGTGAATCAGTCATGCATATACATATAGCCACTCTTTTTTTATATTCTTTTCCCATATAGGTCATTACAGAGTACTGAGTAGATTTCCCTGTGCTACACAGCAAGTTTTTATTAGTTATCTACTTTATGTCTAGTAATGCGTATATGTCAATCCCAATCTCCCAATTTACCCTTCCCCTCCCTATCCTCTGGTAACCATAAGCTTGTATTCTACATTCATGACTCTACTTCTGTTTTGTAGATAAGAATACCTCTTTTTTTAGATTTTAAATACCATTTTTTAGATTCCACATATAAGCAATATCATATGGTATTTGTCTTTCTGGGTCTGATTTACTTCAACTCAGTATGACAATTTCTAGGTCCATCCATGTTTCTGCTAGTGGCATTATTTTGTTCTTTCTTATGACTAATATTCCATTGTATGTATGTACCACATTTTTTTAATCCATCCCTCTGTGTTTCCATGTCCTCACAAGAGGCCCCATCTCCAAATACAGCCACGATTGGAGTTAGGGCTTCAACATATGAACTGGCGGGGGCAGGTTGGTGGGTGGTGCAAACACAGTCAGTATCCCATTTAATGACCTTGGCATTTTCCATTCCTTTGTACACGAAGTCTGAGGATTTCTCTGGCTCCTGGAGACCATTCAGTCCACACTCAGGACAAATAGAAGTAACGGGGAGTTTATATCACCTGTAAACATTCCTCCACCAATAAGTGCTAAGATTTAGTGGATAAATACCGCAGTTCCCTCATCTCTCAGAGAGTGTCACTTGAAGTGCCTGCTCTACACTGCCTCCCAGAGGTTCCCAGAGGAATTGAGCCTCAGTTGTCCACAGTAGAAATTTGCCACATAATGCATGCTAAGTCACTTCAGTCGTGTCCAACTTTGTGCGACCCCATGGACAGCAGCCCACCAGGCCCCTCTGTCCACGGGATTCTCCAGGCAAGAATCCTGCAGTGGGTTGCCGTTTCCTTCTCCATTGCTAGATAATACCCACCCCCTTTATTTTCTGCCTTCCCCTCCCTGTTTCATTTCACCATTTCCCTTCCAGTGCTTTCTGGGATCATTTCCTAAATAAAATACTTGCACTAGAATCCTTGTCTCAAAGTCCACTTCTTGGAAAACCCAACCAAAATCTGCAAAGAAAGGAAACAACAAAGACAACCATTACCTTAACCAAGTTGTTTTGAAAAGCCAGGATAGACTGGCGGGAAGGATACAGCTTCTGACACATATTAGATGCTCAATAGATCTTTGTCAAACAAATGACCAACTTTCTCCTATGTGTTCCAGATATTGATGAATGTAAACCACCCATTAATATATATTGTGGAGTGAATGCTGAGTGTCAGAATATCGAAGGAGGTTTCTACTGTCACTGTATTGCTGGATATAAACTTCTCTCTGGGAAACCACAATTCAAGGATTCCAATGAGAACACCTGTAAAAGTAAGAAAAATTTTTGTTTTCTTATCTCCCCTCCTAATTTTTAAGTGAGTCTAACACCAGCATGTGTGTGCTCAGTCATTTCCAATTTTTTGTGACCCCCTGGCTCCTCTATCTTTATAGCCCACCAGGCTCCTCTGTCTATGGAATTTCCCAGGCAAGAATCCTGGAGGAGTGAGTTGCCATTTCCTCCTCCAGGGGATCTTCCCAACCCAGGGATCGAACCCTGGTCTTTTGCATCTCCTGCATTGGCAGCCAGATTTTTTTTTTTTTAACCACTGTACCACTTGGGAAGTCAGAAAATATATATTTGTGGTGGGGCCAGTGAATATCTATTTTCTGGAAGGAAATGGGTGATACAAAGAGGAAGTGAAAAGGAAAGAAGGAAATTTAGATAAATGATGGGATTAAGAATGCAAGTGAACTTTGGAGATGGTGTCACAGGTCACAGGATGATGGTTGAGACAGGATTCTTTGAGTTGCAAAGTAGAAAAATCCACTCAAGTTAACTTAAGGAAAAATATGAGTTTATGATAAGGTTCAGGGGCTTTCCTGGTGGCTCAGTGGTAAAGAATCCATCTGCCAATGCAGGAGACACAGGTTCAATCCTTGGGTTGGGAAGATCCCCTGGAGGAGGAAATGGCAACCCACTCCAGTATTCTTGCCCACAGAATTCCATGGACAGAGGAGCCTGGCAGACTACAGTCCATGGGGAGTCACAAAAAGTCGGATGTGACAGACCACTGAGCACGCACACACACGTGTGATGAGATGCATGGATATGTCTTGGGTAAAAATACTGCTGGGTACTGGAATGAACTGAAGTTGGGGACCCAACACTGTCACGGCACCCCAGTCTCTCATACTCTGAATCCGCTTCTTCTATTCCCCTCGCAAACTGGTTTCTCTGCTTCCCATTCCACAGGATAGGAAATAAGGCCACCAACAGCTCAAAACCTTACCATTGCTATTGACCCAACCACCAAAAGAATGGTAACTGATTCTCTCTCTTGAATATAATTGCATATTCTTTGGAAATGTAAAAATTGACACAGTTTGAATCATATGCCCACCCTTGGATCTGTGACCTTGGATAAGCATGGTAATTGTCACAGAAATCATATAGGCAGAGAAAGTCTATACATAAGAAATACAGGACTTGGCAGACTACCCATGAGGTACTAGCTACAGTTGAAGTCATAAGAGTCTCTAAATCTGAATGTTTCATGGAGAAACAATAATGTTGATTGACATGTATATATATATATATATATATATATATATACACACACTCATACATGGGTGCTCAGGCGTGTCTGACTCTTTGCAACCCCGTAGACTATAGCCCACCATGCTCCTCTGTACATGGAATTTTCTAGCCGATAATACTGGAGTGGGTTGCCATTCCTACTCCGGGGATCTTTCTGACCCAGGGATCGGACCCTCCTCTCCTGTGCCTCCTGCATTGCAGGCAGATTCTTTACCACTGAGCCACCAAGCAATAATACTGATAGACAATATTTATTTCAACTGTACTATGTGCCAGAACAGAGGAACCTGACGGGCTACAGCCCATGGGGTCACAAAGGGTCAGACACAACTGACACACATGTACCAGGTACTGCACTGAGTTCTTTACATTCTTTATTTCATTTACAACAATTGCATGAGGTAAGCATTATTACAGATAAAGAAACCGAAGCACCCAAGATTTAAGTAACTTGTGCTCCTGCCCATCCAGCATCAAAGCCATGAGGTTGGAGACTCCACAGCAGAAAGAGCTTAGAGGAAGACTAACAAGGGTCATTGTATCCCACTCGCCCCACAAGATCCCCTAAGGAGCTCAGGGTCATGAGCAGCACAAGCCTTGATATCAGGAAATCTCATATCACAATTATCAGGCCATCTTCATACCATTAGGATTCATATCAGGTCAATTCTGAGATTCCTTCCAATGGGAGGGTCCAGGACTCCACGATCCTTCCAGAAACTGAGTCTCAGAACAAAGAGGAACAATTATGCCAAAGGGAGCGAGCCACAACTACTGAAGCCCACTCGATCTAGAGCCTGTGTTCCGCAACAAGAGAAGCACCACAAAAAGTCTGTGCACTGCCGTAACTAGAGAAAGTCCCCATGCAACAACAAAGATCCAGTGCAGACAAACACTAATAAATAAATAATTTTTAAAAAATTATTTAAAAAGCAGGACTATTCAGGGACCTAAGAACCAAACTCCCTTTAAAAAGCTTAAAACAGGATTTCAAGATCAAACTGGAAAGGAACGGTTGTACAAAGGCCCCCACAGGTACAGAGATGCCTTTTCCAGAGACCCGCACTGAATTACAGAGACTCGGCTATTCCGCATCAGGGTTCTTAGGTAGCGAAGGGGCCACAGGCAGCCTTCATCAAGGATGCCTGTGAATGACTGAACTTGCTTACACCTCCTTCTGATTCTTGTGTGTACAGTCTCTGCACATGTAAAGTGGTACAAGCTTTGCTTCCCCTGTGCCTCAGCAGTAAAGAATCCGCCTGCAATGAAAGAAACGCGGATTTGATCCCTGGGTCGGGAAGATCCCCTGGAGAAGGAAATGGCAACCCACTCCAGATTCTTGCCTGGAGAATTCCATGGACAGAGGAACCTGTCTGCGGACTATAGTCCATGGGGTCACAAAGAGTCTGACACAATTTAGCAACTAAAAACAACCACCACAATGAGCTTTGCACTTAGACAAGAATGGATTTAAGTCTGGGCTCTACTGCTTACCCCGGCATGACTACAGATATTTCCTTAACAACTTGTGCCTATTTCCTCATCTGCTTAAATAACAGAACCTGACTCATGGAATTATTTCAAGGATTAAATGAAATAATGCCTGTGAAGAGGCATTCAGCAAGTGGTAACTCTGATTTTTGTGCATGGTGCATTTTTCTGCCAGATGCATCCACATCTTCAAGAGACAATAGAGCAGAATGGTTAAGAATACTTTCCAGGTGGACTTTCATGGTAGTCCAGTGGTTAAGAATCTTCCTGCAAAAAAAAAAAAAAAGAATCTTCCTGCCAATGCAGGGGACATGGGTTCAATCCCTGGTTGGAGAACTAAGATTCCACACACAACAACCACAAGTTCTAATGCTGCAACTAAAAAGATCCCACATGCTGCAAGGAATTTCAAAGATCCTGCATGCCACAACTAAGACCTAGTGCAGCCAAATAAATAAATAAATACTTATTTTCAAAAACAGCTGATGGTTATAAACTGGCATTCCTGTCTCAGTTATAATTCCCAGCCAGGCTGACTTTTAAAACCTAAAACATCTAGTCTTCTGTTTGCTCAGCCATTTCATTTATAATGGTCAGCCAGAGCCAGATCTGAATGAAAGAGCTTGGAGCTTACAATTTTCTGCTTCCTCTATGCCATGGTATCTCTACCACAGCAATATTGACACTTGGGGTCCCAAAATTATTTGTGGTCAGAAGCTGTCCTCTGCATTAAAAGGCATTGAGCAGCATCCACCCACTAGATCCCAGTAGCATCCCCACTCAAGCTCATGAATGACCTCCAGAAATGTGTCTAGCCATTGCCAATGTCCCCAGGAGGCAAAATCACCTGAAGTTGAAAAAACTGCTCTCCACGACAACAAGGAATTTGGACTCTGATCCCACTAAAGAGAAAATGAACTCATCAGAGAACATGAAGTGTATGATTTCAGACCTCCTAGATGCAAAGTTACCCACCTTACCTGCCGACTTCTCCACACTTTCACTCTCGGTTCCAACAGTAATTTCTCTTGATGTCTTTTTCAGAAATCACCCCCAAGACAACCAACGGCACAAAAGAGGTAAGTGGAAGATGAGTCCTGGAACCTAGACAGATAACAAATATTTACAAATCTCAAAGTTAGGAAATGGAGGTGAATACTATATATGTGTGCTATATGTCATATATTATATGCATGATAATATAAAATACCTGATATGATTATGACAAAATTGTAATATATGCTAATTGTGACATATGTTTATTAACCTATTATATTTTGATATACAATATGTATTGTATAACTGTGATATATACATATATATATCACTATGTTTATCACTATATTATCTCACTATAGAGATAAATGATAGATCAATACATTATATATGTATATATGGGTGTGTGTGTATGAGTGTGGGTGTGTGTGTGAGTATATGTGTGTGTGTACTACCCCCTGAAGACAGGATCTATCCCAGACCAAGAAAGAGACTAAGTAAGACTGTATTAGGATTCGATGAGCTGCTGCAACCAAGAGACCCAAATATCCAATGGCTTTAAAAACATGGATCTTTATTACTTTCTGAGCTATTAGTCCAGAGGTGAGCAGTCCAGGCTGGTGAAGGAATTCTGCTCCATGAGGTCATTCAGGTACCCACGTTCTTTCCATATTGCTGCTCCACCATCCCCTGGCATCTCCTCCTCAGCTAATCAGACCCCCAACTGACTGGATGAGCCCCAACCACATCAGGAAGGGCAATCAGCTTTACTTCTTTCATCCATTCAGATGTTCATTTCATGTCAGACCCAGAATGACGCTTGGCCAAACATCTAGGTAACCCATGACTCAGTCTAGCTGACACATAAAATTAACCATCACACTTTTTAAGAAGAATTTACTCATCTTTAAGATGAGGGTGGTGATGGCACCCTTGGATAAAGAGCAGGTTAAATGAGATAATACATGTATAGTATTCAGAACAGTGCCAGGTCCAGAGTACACATTCCATCCATGTTATCTGTCATCTCCTCCAGACTGATGACTTTTAAGTGGTGTGCTATCACTCACTAGACAGTGAGCTTCTTGAGGAGGGGAATCAGACCAAGTCAGCCTTGGGAGTTCAACATCTGTTCATTGCAGTAATGAACAAATAATCGTGTTATCAAAAGGAGCATTTCATTATAAAAGTCATTGTCAGCTTTCTCAAAAAGTTAAACATAAAATTATCAGGTGACTCTACAATTATCTGAGCTTCCGTGGTGACTCAGACAGTAAAGCGTCTTGTCTACAATGCAGGAGACCCGGGTTCAATCCCTGGGTCGGGAAGATCCCCTGGAGAAGGAAACAGCAGCCCACTCCAGTAGTCTTACCTGGAATATCCCTGGACTGAGGAGCCTGGTAGGCTACAGTCCATGGGGTCGCGTAGAGTCAGACATGACTGAGTGACCTCACTTTCTTTCACTTTCTACAATCCTACTTATAGGAATATACCCAAGAGAATTGAAAGCAGGGACCCAAACATGAACCTGGACAAAAGTAGAATTCAAAAAGATACACACATGCCTATATTCATAGCAGAACTGTTCACAATAGTCGACATGGTAACAACCTAAACGTCCATTGACAGATGAACAGATAAAGAAGACGTGGTTCATGTGTATAATGGAATATCACTAAGTCGCTTTAGTCGTGCCCAACTCTGTGTGACTCAGTGGACCGTAGCCAGCCAGGCTCCTCTGTCCATGGGATTCCCCAGGCAAGAATGCTGGAGTGGGTTGCCATGCCTTCCTCCAGGGGATCTTCCAACCCAGGGACTGAACCCACGCCTTTATGTCTCCTGCATTGATAAGCAGGTTCTTTACCACTAGCACCACCTGGGAAGCCCAGTGGGATATTATTCAGGCATAAAAAAGGTTGAAATAATGTCATTTGTAGCAACATGGATAAACCTCGAGATTATCATACTAAGTGAAGTAAGTCAGAAAGTGAAAGACAAATACCATATGATGTTGTGTATGTGAAATCTAAAACATGACACAGGTGAACTTAGTTACAAAACAGAAACAGGCTCACAGACATAGAGAACAGATTTGTAATCGCCAAGGAGGGAGGGGGTAAGGGAGGATTGGATTGGGAGGTTGGGATTAGCAGATGTGGATTATTATATATAGAATAGATAAACAACAAGGTCCTACTTATAGCACAGGGAGCTATAGTCAATATCCTGTGGTAAATGATGATGAAAAAAATATGAAGATGTGTATATAAAACTGAATCACTTTGCTGTACAGCAGAAATTAATACAACAATAAATCAACTCTACTTCAATAAAATAAATTTTTAAAAAAAAGAGAGAGCAGGGACCCAAATATATACTTGCACAACTATGCTCTTGGCAGTCCTATTCACAACAGCCAAAAGACAGAAACAGCCCAAATGTCCACTAATTGATGACAGGATGAATAAAATGTGTTATATCTATACAGTGGAATATTATTCAGCCATAAAAATGAAGTTCTGATTCCCAGTACAATATGGATGAACCTCAAAAACATTATGCTCAGTGAAAGAAGTCAGACACAAAAGATTACACGGTATATGATTCCACTTACATAAAATGTCCAAAATAGGCAAATCCAGGGAAACAGAAAGCAGATTTGTGCTTTCTAGAGGCTGGGGGAGGGGAGAATGGGGAGCAACTGTTTAATGGGTTTTATTTGGAAATGATGGAAATGTTTTAGAACTACATAGAGATGAGGGTTATACAACATCATGGACATTCTAAATTATTACTGGCTTGTATACTTCCATGGCGGTCCAGTGGTTAGGACTCCATGCTTCCAACTGCAGGGGGTGTGGGTTTGATCCCTGGTTGGAGAACTGAGATCCCACATGCCATGTGGCCAAAAAAAAAAAAAAACTACTTTAAAAAAAGAATGTATTTTATGTTATGTGAATTTCACTTCATAAAAACAAAATGCATTGCTAAAGAAAGACAGGTACAAAGTCATCACGTTAGATCAGACACTAAAACAGCAATTCTGATGACCCAATACTCTGGCACCTACTCTGTACAAATGAGTTTAAACCAAGAAGACTTCTGCTGCCATTTAGAAAAGAGAGAGGTGTTTTACATCAGGTATGGCTGAGGAGGGGGGCTGCCCTTTCACTAGAAAACTCAGCTCAGAATTTCCACCAACACTGGTTAGACTGAAAGAATAAACCACTAAAAGGCTTATTTGAACCTGATTCTGAAAGTCCCTCCAATCCTTCTTTACATATTACTCTGCTTATAACTCTTTGGCATGATATTTTCCTATTAAAAACATCCATTTAACCCATGAACACTTACTGAGGCCCTGCTATTCACCAAAGGGGCTTCCCAAGGTGGACAGTGGTAAAGAATCCACCTGCAATGCAGGAGAGACGGGAGATGCTGGTTCAATCCCTGGGTCAGGAAAATCCCCTGGAGGAAGGCATGGCAACCCACTGTAGTATTCTTGCCTGGAGAATCCCATGGACAGCGGAGCCTGGTGGGCTATAGTCCTTAGGGTCGCAAAGAGTCAGAAACGACTGAAGCCACATAGCACTATTCATCAGGGACCGTTCTATGTACTAGGAAATAGCCGTGAAGACAAAATTCCTATCCCAATGGGACTTACTGTCGGTACTTTGTGTGCTATGTTTAGTCGCTCAGTCGTGTCTGACTCTTTGCATCCCCATGGACTGTCACCCACCAGGCTCCTCAGTCCCTGGGGATTCTCCAGGCAAGACTACTGAAATGGGTTGCCATGCCCTCCTCCAGGAGGTCTTCCCGACCCAGGGATCAAACCCAGGTCTCCCACATTACAGGCGGATTCTTTACCATCTGAACCACTAGGGAAGCCTATGAATACAGGAGAGGGTAGTCAATCCCTTCTCAAGGGGATCTTCCCCACCCAGGAATCAAACTGGGGTCTCCTGCATTGCCGGCAGAGTCTTTACCAGCTGAGCTACCAAGAAAGCCCTCTAGTACTTTAACATACCGCAAATCCCTTAGAAGCTTGTTAAAGTACAGGTTTGGATTCAGAATGTGTGGACTGGGACCTAAGAGTCTGAATTCCTAATAAGCTCCCATGTGATGCTGATACTGCTTGTCCAAGGCCTATACTTTAAGTAAAAGCATGTAGAGATCAACATAAGAATAATTTTTCAAGTCACATATGCTACACTTTTTATTGAAGTAGAGTTTTTTTTTTAATTGGAGTGTAACCGCTTTACAATGTTGTGTTCGTTCTGTTGTACAACAGTGTGAATCAGCTCTAAGTGCACGTACATCCCCTCCCTCTTGAGCTTACCTCGTGCCACCCCCATCCCACCCCTCTAGGTCATCACAGGGCACCAAGCTGACCCCCTGTGCTACCCAGCACCTTCCCACTAGCCAGCTACTTTATACGGGGTAGGTCATGCGTGTCAGGGATACTCTCCCAGTTTGACGTACAGTTGTTTTACTGTTTCAGGTATAGGGCAAAGTGATTCCGTTACGTATAATCTTTTTCAGATTTTTTCCATTGTAAGTTATTACAAGATATGGGAATATAGATTCCTGTGCTATATCATAGGTCTCTGTTGTTTATCTATTTTCTATATAGTAATGTGTATCTGTTAACCCCAAATCCCTAATTAATTCCTCCCTGCCCTTTTTCTCTATGGTAACCATAAATTTGTTTTCTATAACAACAGTTTTAAAATTTCACCTTGACCCTTCAGTCTTCTTCAGCCACTGGCCCATCTCTTTTGCTGTTCTTCATAGAACCACTATATTGTATGGCTGAAACTAATATAATATTGTAAATCAACTATACTTCACTAAATCAGTAAGATGGATAGATGGATAAAATGAGTTTAATATAGCTTTTAAAAAACAATACATTTCTTGATATAAAAAGGCCAGTTAGAGTTCCTTCTGAGCTATGATACTACTAAATGTTTTCTCAACTTTGGCCCTATTCACATTTGAGACTGGGTCATTCTCTGCTGTGAGGTTGTCACATGCATTATAGGATGTTGAGTAACATCTCTGGCCTAATTATCAGTAGAACCAGCACTCCGCAGCAGTGACAATCCAAATGTCTTCCCACCCGGGGAATCAAAATCGCCCCCAGTTGAGAACCACTGGTCTATTTCTAGAAATCCTACCACTTCCTTGTTGGTAAAAGATGCTTATAATAACTAACACTTAAATGATGTTTGAACTTCCCTGGTGTCTCAGTGGTAAAGAATCTGCCTGCAATGCAAGAGACCCAGGTCTAATCTCTGGGTCAGGAAGATCCCCTGGAGAAGGAAATGACAACCCACTCCAGTATTCTTGCTTGGAGAATCCCATGGACAGAGGAGCCTTGTGGGCTACAGTTCATGGGTCACAAAGAGTCAGACACAACTGAGTGACTAATGCTTCTATGATGTTTACCAGGCTAACACTGTTCTAAAAATAAAATGTCTCTTCATTCATTTAATCTTCCCCCAAACTTTATGGGGTCTTAGTGCCATCCTCATCCTAAATGGAGAACCTGAAGCACAGAGTGACTGAGTGACTTTCCCAAGGTTGCACAGCCAGTGAGAGGTGGAGTCAGCTTTTGAACCAGTCGTCTGACCACACCGCCTTCTTTCTTGTGTTTTCTTCTGACCCTTGGGATGTGGGACCTATCGATTGGATTTTTTAAAATTCTTTCTCTCTTCAAAGATGCAACAGTTTATTGAGAATATTGAGTCTCTTCTCACCAGTAAGATTGTATTGAAAAATACGGGAAACATCATAACGGTCACAGACTTTTTCCAGGAAGTGGAATCAAAAGTTCTAAACGCTGCCTTGGATGCCCCAGACCAGGAAACCCAGAAAGTCCAAAAGAGCACTGTGGGTAAGAAGACAGTAAGATCTGAGACTCATGGGGGGTTGGTTACTAACTGGGGTCCGCGTTAAGCGATGAGAGAAGTAAATAAGGACTGCATTCGTCCATTTATGGGGCTTCCTGGGTGGCACTAGTGGTAAAGAACCCGCCTGCCAGCGCAGCAGACATAAGAGACATGGATTCGATCCCTGAGTCAAGAAGATCCCCTGGAGGGGGATATGGCAACCCACTCCAATATTCTTGCCTGGAGAATCCCCACGGATAGAGGAGCCTGGGGGGCTACAGTCCTTAGGGTCACCAAGAGTCGGACATGACTGAAATGACTGAACACACATGAGCACATCCATTTACATAAAATTCTAGAAAATGCAAACTAATCTCTAGTGACACAGAGGGCAAAGTCAGTGAAGGGATGGAAAAGGGATGTGAGGAAATTTGGAGAAATTGTTGGCAGTGACAGAAATGTTGTCTGCCTTGACTGTGATGGTGGTTTTACAGAGGTACACACTCAGTGAAACCCATCCAGCTGTACACTTTAATATGTGAGATTTGCTGTACGTCAACTACACCTGCATAGAGCTGTTTTTAAAAATTGCCAATGGGGGATTTCCCTGGTGGTCCAGTGGTTAGGACTTGGCAATTTCACTGCTGAGGCCTGAGCAGGTCCGGGAACTAATATTCCACAAGCCTCGTGGTGTGACCAAAAATTTTTTTAAATAAAAACAATGTTTTGCTGTTGCTCAGTCACTCAATCATGTCCCACTCTTTGCAACCCCATGGACAGCAGCATGCCAGGCTTCCCTGCCCTTGACCATCTCCCAGAGCTTGCTCAAACTCATGTCCATTGAGTCGGTAATGAAATCCACTGAACCATCTCATCCCCTTCTCCTCCTGCCTTCAAATCTTTCCTAGCCTCTGGGTCTTTTCTTATGAGTCAGCTCTTCCAATCAGGTGACCAAAATATTTGAGCTTCAGCTTCAGCAACAGTCCTTCCAATGAACATTCAGGATTGATTTCCTTTAGGACTGATAGGTTTGATCTCCTTGCAGTCCAAGGGACTCTCAAGAGTCTTCTCCAACACCACAGTTCAACTTTCTTTAAGGCGCTCAACTTTCTTTAAGGTCCACGCTCACATCTGTACATGACTACCGGAAAAGCCATAGCTTTGACTAGATGGACCTTTGTTGGCAAAATAATGTCTCTGTGCCGGGAGCCGTTATGGGAGGTCCCGCCTGTGACGAGCTCATGAAGAAAATAACAGGCAGGCAAGACCGTCTGCGACCCCATCCATGACGAGGTCACGAGGAAAAAACCTGACAGGCAAGGCCGTCTAGGATAAGGGACCCTCCAGATTGGCCTTGGCCTCTACCCCACCCTGTATCCTCCCCCGTTTTCTGCTGTTGTTCTTGTTTGCCCTGCTGCGGATTCTTGTGTTGCCTGCCGAGAGCTCTCCTGCTCCTCTTTCACTGAGTGAGGACCAACTTAAAATGCTAATTAATAAATCTCCTGGACGCTGGTGCCCTATGAAGGGGCCAGGGATGAAAGAAATGCTTCAATTCAAACCCTTTTGCTGGCATTCTGGCTTGTTTGATAAATGTGTGCTCTTATTGCAGAAAATGCTCATGATTGTTCTAAACATCCTAAGCACAGTATGCTAACAAAAGAAACTATTAAGCATAGGTCCCTCCGCGGGGTGAGAAAAGCCCCACAAATATTATAGCCACATATACGCCTAATAGAAAATAGTTTAGATAGAGATTAGCTGGTGACTTCTTGCAGGTAATTAACTTTTGGACTAATAGCCTGTTTTGTGTCATATCTGCTGTTTTTGCAATCCTTTGCATTTCTGTTCTGTGAAAATGTAATCCTATCTAGTTCCCTTGGAGATGACACCTAATGAAAGAAAATAGATTAACCACAAAAAAGACAGGGTCGGCTACTGAAGTTGCTTAAAGTAGCACCAGGTGCAAGTCATAAATTGTCAACAGGCCTGAAAGCCAAAAGATATTATACATAGAGATTAACCATAAAAAAGGCCCTAATAGGCACAGAGCCCTTTGGGGGGTAAGGAAGCCCTATTAAAAAATACAAAACATATTGTTTTAAAAGTGGTTATTGGATCAACGTTTGATTGATGTTAATGTGCTGAGGTTGTGCAGTGGAAACTATTGTTAATATAGTTGGAGATCTAGAAAAATAAGAGTTTAGCCCTAGTGTAAAAACAATAAGATGTTGTTAATTTTAATCAGGAGTGCTAAACAGGGGCTGCCTCACCAGAGCCGCAGAGTCTTTGTGTGTTAAACTTTTTAGATAAATTTAGCTGAGAACTTCTCCAAAAAGACTGACTTTTATGTTAACAGGATTGTATTTCTATTATGTTGCAACCTGCTGTACCATGAGACTGCCACTTTTCTGTTTTCTGTGAAGCTCAAGGCCAGAAGATCATGTACAAAATATCTATGGGAAAAGACTCTCACAAACAAAAATATACAGAGCACACCTGGTTTCGTGAAGGACAAGCTGATGTCATGTTAAACCAAGTCTGTGTGCTTATCTGCCCCTTAGAAATGTACTGACTTAGGGTATAAAGGCTACGGTCAAAAATAAAGCAACTGCCAGACTCTGCTGCACATTCCTGGTCTGGTCTCTCTCTCTCTCTCTCTCTCTCTCTCTTTCTCTCTCTCTCTCTCTCTCAGACTTGGCCCTATCAAGGCCGGTCCTACGTGTCTCTCTCTCGCCGATGCCGTTCATCCTGAGGGTTCCCCTGGATCCTGCTGGGGCTGGACCCCGGCATCTCTGCTTTTTAATATGTTGTCTAGATTTGTCATGGCTTTTCTTCCAAGGAGCAAGCGTCTTCCAATTTCATAGGTGCAGTCACCATCTGCAGTGATTCTGGAGCCCAAGAAAATTAAGTCTATCACTGTTTCTGTTGTTTCCCCATCTATTTGCCTTGAAGGGATGGAACTGGCATGCTGCAATCCATGGGGTCGCAAAGAGTCAGACTCAGTTGAGCAACTCAACTGAACTGATGGGACTGGATGCCATGATCTTCGTTTTCTGAATGCTGAGTTTTATGCCAGTGTTTTCACTCTCCTCTTTCACTTTCATCAAGAGGCTCTTTAGTTCCTCTTCACTTTCTGCCATAAGGGTGGTGTCATCTGCATATCTGAGGTTATTGATATTTCTCCCAGCAATCATGATTCCAGCTTGTGCTTCCTCCAGCCCAGCGTTTCTCATGATGTACTCTGCATATAAGTTAAATAAGCAGAGTGACAATATAGAGCCTTGACATACTCCTTTTCCAATTTGGAACCAGTCTGTTGTTCCATGTCCAGTTCTAACCGTTGCTTCTTGACCTGCACACAGGTTTCTCAGGAGGCAGGTCAGGTGGTCTGGTATTCCCATCTCTTGGAGAATTTTCCACAGTTTGTTGTGATAATATTTAGAATTAAATAAATACCTGCATGCTAAGTCACTTCAGTCCTGTCCAACTCTTTGTCACGCCATGGACTGTAGCCCGCCAGGCTCCTCTGTCCATGGGACTCTCCAGGCAAGAATACTGGAGTGGGCTGCCATGCCCTCCTCCAGGGGAATTTCCCAACCCAGGGATTGAATCCACGTCTATCATGGCAGGTGGGTTCTTTACCACTAGTGCCACCTGGAAAGCCCAAATAAATACATGAATAAACAAAAATTGTCACTGGTTTCTAATCCTGAGTCTGGGACTCTGGCTTAAAGGTAGTTTTTTTTTTAATGATTCAGTGCTCACGGAACCTAACAGCACATGTCACGGTGATGTGACTTAAACCACCCCAGAAGGAACATCTTACTACATAATTTTAAAATAAAAATACATTTTTTTAAGGAACTGAAAGCAAACTTTTATTTAAAGACCTCTTCGGGTCATGGTCATTTGGACTCACGGCCTCAATTTGCTGCTCAACTCTCTGGTGACTCAGATAGTAAAGAATCTGCCGGAGATTCAGGTTCAATTCCTAGATCGAAAGACCCCGTGGAGAAGGGAATGGCAACCCATTCCAGCATTCTTGCCTGGAGAATTCCATGGACAGAGGACCCTGGAGAACTATAGGCCATGGGGTCGCAAAAAGTTGGACATGACTAAGTGACTTTCACTTTTGCTAGCAGAACTCTGGCAACAGTGAAATAAACGTGCTGAATTCTTTCTAAAATAGAAATACTTTTATTAAGGAATCCCCTGGCTGTCCAGTCGTTAATGCTCAACACTTTCACTGCCTTGGGCCAGGGTTCAATTTTTGGTTGGGGAACTAAATCCCACAAGCCACGTGGCATAGCCACCCCCCAAAAAAACTTTCATTATACCTGTCATACATATTCATTATATATCCATGTGCTGCAGATATGTCAGTTAGCTTGACTGCAGTAATCATTTAACTATATATGTGTGTCAGACACAGCTGAGCACCTGAGCACACACACACACATGCACACATGTGTCAAATCTTCATGTTGTACACCTTAAATATATATAATTTTTGTTTATGAAAATAAAAAATGAAATACCATGGCAAAGCCAAGTATTAAATTTTTAATTAGGAAAAAACACATACACAAAACTAAACTGAGGCCAGCCAAATCTGCCCACAATTCAGTGCTCCAATCCAATACCCATGTAGGTACATGTCTGATGAAGAGACACGTATTTGTTGTGTATGTTACACTTACATACGCTTGCCAAACTTGCTTTCTCACTCATTACATGACTAACATCTTTCCATGCACATCATATACATCATTACTTATGTTATTGTCTTCAATAGTTTATATAGTTGCATTGTACATATAATTTATTTACACTATAATTTATTTCCCTATTCTGAGAAATGTGGGTTGTTACAAAACAACCCTGTGACAAAGACCATAAAAGTTTTATATGTATCTATTCGTTAAATGTTTTCTTAGGATAAATTCATAGAAGAGGAATTGTTAGATCAAAAGGAAGAAAGCATTCTATGAACTTTTGATACATATCACTATATTGGCCTCCAAAAATGCTGTTTACTGTGCTTTTTATTAATATTCAGCTCAGAGATGCTAATGTATTTGTGTATGCCTAACTAATCATTTTGTTTTACCAACTTTCATGATAAAATACTTCATAAAAATAATCATTCTTTATAGTTTTTAATAAAATAAAATCCAGTGCCTACACTTCTCAGGAAACCAGAATCTGGACACTTTTATTTAAAATTAAGCCACATTACAAGTAATTCTTATATTTTCTGATTTGGCCAGTTCCTAATTGAGTTTTTGGTTTTGTTTTGTTTTTGGCCAAGCCATGAGTCATGTGGGATGTTAGTTCCCTGACCAGGGATCAAACCTGCAGCCCCTGCATTGAAAGGGCACAGTCTTAACCACTGGACTATTAGGGAAGTCCCCCTCATTGTTTAATCGATGATATAAAGTACCCTTACCTCAGTGAGCTTTCATCACCTCACCCGTAAAATGAGATAGTAATGCTGCATTCAACGCACTTAGAACCAAGGCTGGTAATTGCCATAACTTTCTGCTCTTTATAATTGCTTTTTTTAACTTTTTTAACACACTCAAAAGGAGACATGATAAGACTATTGCACCCCTCACCAGCTTCAATAATTTCCAACTCATGACCAGTCTCATACCTTCTGATTTTTAAGATAAATATTTTCATGATCTTATTGTTTGTTATTCTGTGACTTCATTTTTATTGGGAGCATGGTTCCCCATTATAGAGATAAGCCATAAGTTATTTAACCAATTCCTTCTTAAACTTTAGGTCATTTCTCATTTTCACCTTTATCATCTTTACTGCCATGGACTTTCTCGTAGCTAATTCTGCCCTCTTAGTCATTACTGTTTTCCAAGAATAAATTCCTAGAAACAGAATAGTTGCTTCAAACACAGTGTGCTAAAGACTGTTAAGAATATGGTTTCAGGGGACTTTCCTGGCAGTCCATTGGTTAAGACTTCACCTTCCAATGCAGGCGGTGTGAGTTCAATCCCTGGTCAGGAAAGTAAGACACCACATGCCTCTCAGCCAAAAAACAAAAACATAAAAAACAGAATCAATATTGTAACAAGTTCAATAAAGACTTTAGAAATGGTCCACAGTAAAAAAGAAATCTTTAAAAAGAGAACATAGGACTCAGTCAGTTCTTACTCTTTGCACCCCACAGAGCCTGCCAGGCTTCTCTGTCATGAGATTTTCTCAGCAAGTATACAGGAGTTAGAGTCCTACTTAAATTCTGAATTTCAGTTTGCTCCTCTGAAAGGTCCTTCACTGTGTTACATGAGGCTGCTGTAAGATGGCAATGTATCAATGTAAGGCTCTTAGCCCAGTGCCTGGCACATTCTAGACACTCAGTAAAGTTAAGCTATTAGTGTAACTATGCACATTTTTAAGAGTAAGTTTTCCCTTTGTTTTTCTTACCAGCTGTTGAAACTCGAGTTGCCACAGACAACTGCTCCAAGGAAGTCACCTTCAGCTTGAACGCCCAAGTGAACTCCATGAAAATCCATTGCAAAGATGTCATCCAGGGAGACATACAAGGTACGTGGGATGGCTGCATTCAGAATCCCTAAGACATGCAGGGCAACGTCGCTGTGTGATAGTGAGGAAAATGTCCCCAGTGGGCTGCTCTCTACTAGGTCTGTTACCCTGATGTTACTGAGCCCGGGTCCGGCTCCTCGCTGCTCAAAAGTCATTAAAGAGGCTAGGTCAGTGGAAAGGAAAGTTTGCTTTATTTTGGATGCTAGTGCCCGGGGAGGAGGGTCACAGCATCCAAACCTGTCCAAAGGCCAACAGGTCCCACCCCAAAAACCAGGGTGCTAGAGCTTTTATAGACAGAGAGACAGGGCTACATGCAGAAGCAGCACAGTAGCTCAGACGGTCATCTTGAAATTGGCCACTGGTGGTCAGTCCTAAGCAGTTAGTCTTGGTTCCAGGGTTGATTTGTTCCAATTTACTTGAGGCCAATTCTTGGAACTGCGACAGCTTATGTCATGTCTACAGTCTGGTCATCGTGTAGCTAATTTCTCCATCTTGTGGAGATCTCTATAAGACAGCTCAAAGGATATGGCTCAGAATATTACCTATAGCCCTTGAGAAGGAACTAAAGGTCCTTGACTTTGCTTACTGACTAAACTATTATCATTTGATCTCCTTTGACTGTTCTCCTTTGTTCCTTTATGTTCTCACTTCTCTGATTAAACTAATTTTTGGCTCAAGTTTTTCCACAGACAAAAGGTGGGCTGAGGACTTGGGGATCAAGGACTGTAGGGTTCTGCTCCGTTTCACTAAGACTGTGCCATTTGAGTCTTTCCTTAAAAAAAATTTTTTTAAATTACAAAAAGACATCTTCCTACCTAAAATGGAGGTTTTTCGTTCTTCACCATGAAAGAGAGACTTCTTTGTAATTTAGTGGCTGTTCTATCTAGTTCTTAGTTTGGGTTCCCTTAGAAGCAATGCCTGGACAAGTGTAAGGTGAACAAGTGTGATGATTTTATATGGGAGGTGATCCCAGAAAGAATTGGTAAGTGTATTAATCCGGATTCTTCAGAGAAACAGAACCAATAGGATATGTATATGTAGAGAAAGAGAAACGGAGATAGAGAGAGATGGGCAGGGACAGAGAAAGATTAAAGAAGAATTTAGCTCACGTGATTGTGGAGGGCAGCAAATCTAAAATCTAGCCAACGGGCTGAAAGACCCAGGGAAAAGTTGTTGCTGCCTGAGTCCAAAAGCAGTCTCTTCCTCAGGGGGAAGTCAGTCTTTTTCTTAACACCTTCCACTGATTAGATGAGGCCCACCAACAATAGGAACTGTAATCTGCTTTATTCAAAATCTATTGATTTAAATGTTAATCTCATCTAAAAATACCCTCACAGCAATATCCAGACTGGTCTTTGACCAAATATCTGGGTCCTAAGGCCTATCCAAGTTGACACATAAAATTAATCATCCCAACAGGGAAAACAGGCTGTAAAACAAGGAAGAGAGGGCAGCCCATACAGGGATTATTACGTTAGCGAACAGGTTACTGCTGGTGGTGACTTGGGTTCAATCCCACTGAGTTTCCCCTTTCAAAAAGAGGCAGCTAGAGGACTTCCCTGGTGGTCCAGTGGTTAAGATTCTGCACTTCTAATGCAGGGTAATCTAAAATCTAGCCAACAGGCTGAAAGACCCAGGGAAAAGTTGTTGCTGCCTGAGTCCAAAAGCAGTCTCTTCCTCAGGGGGAAGTCAGTCTTTTTCTTAACACCTTCCACTGATTAGATGAGGCCCACCAACAATAGGAACTGTAATCTGCTTTATTCAAAATCTATTGATTTAAATGTTAATCTCATCTAAAAATACCCTCACAGCAATATCCAGACTGGTCTTTGACCAAATATCTGGGTCCTAAGGCCTATCCAAGTTGACACATAAAATTAATCATCCCAACAGGGAAAACAGGCTGTAAGACAAGGAAGAGAGGGCAGCCCATACAGGGATTATTACGTTAGCGAACAGGTTACTGCTGGTGGTGACTTGGGTTCAATCCCACTGAGTTTCCCCTTTCAAAAAGAGGCAGCTAGAGGACTTCCCTGGTGGTCCAGTGGTTAAGATTCTGCACTTCTAATGCAGGGGGCAGGGGTTCAGTTCCTGGTCAGGAAACTAAGATCCCACATGACTCTCGACATGGTCAAAAAAAAATTTTTTTAATAATAAAAGGGACTTCCCGTGTGGCCCAGTGGCTAAGACTCTGCACTCCTAATGCAGGTGACCTGGCTTCAATACCTAGTCAGGGAACTAGATCTCACATGCTGCAATGAAGATCCTGTATTCCAAAACTAAAATAATAATAACAGTTAGGGAGAGGGAGCTGAGCTGAGCTCTTTATCCACCTGCTCTGATCCATCACTGGTTAAGAGCCCTTCTGGGGGTTGCAGGCAGAAGTGAATTTCTAGGCTCTTCTAGCCTGCTCTGTGTACAGATCAAACATGTTCACTCCAGGGAAAGCTCCCAGACAGAGTCGCAGCTGCTTGCAGTAGAATCCATCAGCATGTTAAAAAAAAAAAAAACAGAAGTGCCAAAGGGATAAAGCTAGGGTGCCTATAGCATCTGCTACAGCCTGTGTAGAAAGAAAGAAATTGTTACTATTAACTGTCCCAGCATTGCCAGACTGTCTGATTTTTCAAGAGAAACCAAAATTTGGGTTGTCTGCATGAACACCTCCAATATTTTTTTAATTTGGCAGGAAGACTTCTGTTATAACTGCCATATGTTACAATTGCTGTAGCACAATAAATGACGGTCTTAAAATCCAATTACATGAATGTGGGGCCTGTACAGACAGCTGGTCTGTGATATCGCCCAAAGTTCCAAAGTAAAGATGATAAAACTTAGACAACGAAGCACATGCTGAACTGAGAAAGTCTCATGTGGCAATTAGTTTCTCACTTCCTCTCCTCCCCCAAGAAGATAAGAACTTGAATCTGCCTTCATTGGAGGACGGGCCAGGAGGAGGATGGGAGCCAAATTCCATCCATGTGATTTCACGCNTATCCAAAAGTCTACAAGCAATAAATGCTGGAGAGGGTGTGGAGAAAAGGGAACCCTCTTACACTGTTGGTGGTAATGTAAATTGGTACAGACACTCTGGAGAACAGTACAGAGGTTCCTTAAAAAAAACTAAACATAGAAGTGTCAACTGACCCAGCAATTCCACGACTGGACATAGACACTGAGAAAACCATAATTGAACATACGACTTTGAGGAGAACGGAACTCAGTCCATAACAACTGTCTAGGCTGAATTGTTTACATGAACTGCAGACCTCATAATGTGAATGCGTGTGCCTTGGGGAGCACCTGGCATAGACATGCCCGTGCATTCGCGCATGCTCAGTGGTGTCTGACTCTTTGTGACCCCATAGACTGTAGCCCACAAGTCTCCTCTGTCCATGAAATTTCCTAGGCAAGGATACTGGAGTGGGTTGCCATTTCCTCCTCCAGGGGTTCTTCCTGGGCCAGGGTTAAAATCTGCGTCTCCTGCATTGGCAGGCAGATTCTTTACCACTGAGCCACCAGGGAAGAACCATAGGCATGCCCAGCAGCAGGCTATTTATCTTTCCCTAATGACCCTTGTGGTCTCATCTCTGAGCATTGCACTGACTGTCCCTCTGCCAGTAATGTTAACCAACATTCCACAGGGTGGACTTTTATTCTTTAGACACAGCTCAACTTTTTCCTCCTCCATGAAGCCTCCCGGGACTGCCTATTTCCATCACAGCACTAGAGTCAGGCTTTCCCTCTCCTGTGCTGCCGCAGCACTTTGAACCTACCTTATCCCGGCATCTAATGTGTTAACATCTGTTCATCAACATGTCCCCTCCCCCGCCCCACCCCCCACCACCATACCTTCAGGGTAAAAACCAGAAATTCTTTCCCTGTGCAGTCCTTTACCAGCATAGAATCAGATAACAGAAATGTTCATCAAATTAAATCCACATCTAGGTTGAGGACTGAACATTCCTAAAGAGAGAAAAGAACGCATTGATGGGTTCATGACGAACTCATAAAGGGACATTTTTCTGTCCCTCAGGTTCTGTCATGGACTGGATCATTCTTCATTGCAGGGAGTCATCCTGTGCCCTGTAGGATGTTGAACAACATCCCTGGCCTTTATCCACTAGAAGCCTATAGCAGTTCCCCAGTTTTGCCCACCAAAAATTCCTCCAGACGCCACCCAGTGTCAGCTGAGGTGAGAGGGCAGGATAGCCTGCAGCTGAGAACCTCCAGTCTAAAGCAACCTTGTAATTTATCTCCAAAAGGTGGATAATTTTAATACCAGAATGGATCCTATTAAGTTACACCATGACACCAGGTATAAACTGGGACTGTCACAGGTAACCCAAGACGTACAATCACATGATTCCTCTCCCTATAAACTATCTCAGAGAACAAACCCTGGCCACAGAGGTCAACCTTGGAAACCTCAATAGCCATTCTTTTCTACTTGTGATTTGCTCTTACACCAGAATATTTCAGCTCAAAAATAAGCAATTTCCAAGCATCAGATCAGGGAGCCTGATCACCTGCTGATGCCTTCCAACCACCCACCGCTGTTTCTTTCTGATGAACAGAAACTGCCATCAACTCAGAAGCAGAAGTGAATCTCTTACTTCTCATCCCTCGAGAGAAGCCAGAAAAACCTGGTCAGAGACACCTGCTCAGGGATTTCTTCCAGTAGGATGAATCACACAACTTGTTTCTTATCGTTGTTCAAGTCACTAAGTTGCGCCCTTTGTGACCCCCCATGGACTGTAGCCTGCCAGGCTCCTCTGTCCATGGGATTTTCCAGGCACGTATACTGGAGTGGGTTGTTATCTCCTCCTCCAGAAGATCTTCCTGGACCAGGGATCGAACCCACGTCTCCTGCATTGGCAGGTGAATTCTTTGCCTCTGAGCCACCTGGGAACCTCACAGCTAGTATGTGGCAAAGATGGAGTTTGAATCCAGAAACACGATTCTTGTCTCTAGGTCCTTAACCACTCATTATATATGACCTG